AGCAGGCCGAGGGACTGGGTCTTCTGGGCACGCCCTGTGGACACTGTAGAGGGTGACCCCCGTGCTGGGCCGTCAGCCGGCATTCTTCCAGCCTAGCCCCTCGGCCCTGGCCCAGCAGCCGTCCCGGGGCCGCCACCGGAGGCTGGCATTTCCAGCTAGGCCGCTGGGCCTGCCTGTGGCGGGGACGGGGACGCCTTGCTAGGACACACACGGGTGGAGGGAAAGGCTTCGAGAACTTCAGCCTTTGGTTAAATCACAACAAACCAGTGGCTTGAATTCAATTTGACGCCTGGCTCCCCCTCATTCTGGGGACCCTCTGAGGCGTTTCTTAACCTCTCTCGCCCTCCTCAGCTTCCTGGTTGGGAAACGAGGTTACAGTACACAGTCCCTCAGGTCCCTCCAAGGGCTAGCATTCTGTAAAGCAGTCTACTTAGATTTTATCGGCAGTCACTAAGGCACAGCGCGAAGCATTTAAAAATAGCGCTACAGGGACATGTGGGTGGCTCAGTGGGTTAAGCGTCTGCCTTCAGCTCAGGTCATGACCCGCGGGTCCTGGGATTGAGTCCTGCATCAGGCTCCCTGCTCAGCGGGGAGCCTGCTTCTCCCTCTGCCTGCCGCTCCCCCTGCTTGTGCTCTCTCTCTCTCTCTCTGACAAATAAATAAATAATATCTTTAAAAAATAAAAATGGCACGACAGACGGCACACCGAGCTCTCCCTGCTTTCTCAGGCTGGCAGTGAGCGTGAGCTCATCTTTCACCGTGGCCGTGTTAATGTGAATGGGGGAAGCATGGGCTCTCCTTCGCTCTCAGGCTCTGAGGACACTGCTCGGCCTTTTAATGTTCCAGGTGGAGTGTTGGCGGGGGTGGGGGGGCCAGCCGGGGCCTCCATTCTTACGGTTAACGATTTCTGTCTAAAGCAATACCATGGCCCCCAAACTCGCACCCATCTCTTGTTTGTTTAACCAGGGAAGAAGCATTTCAGACCAACTGGTAATGTGTTCCAGACAAGCAGGAAGATCCACTTCCCTTCCTCTTGCTGTGGGAGAGAGGAAAGATGACACTAGAAGTAGGAATCTTTCACCCTGGGTGACTGAAAGAACAACTTCAATTTTTGTCAAGAAGCTGGAGAAGGCTGCTGGGGCGGCCTGATTTCCACCCCCCGGGGTCTCTGTGGACAGGAGGGGCCTGCAGTGCCTGAGCTGCAGCTGACGTTGGACCTGTCCACTGGAAAGGGTTGAACCCAGTGGCTGATGGGTAGAAGCTTCTCCATGAAATAAGATAAATTGCAGTCTCCTCAACATTCTAAAAATACTCAGAACTACCATCGGCTTAGGCACAGAGCATAGTAATTACATTTTAGAGGAGGATGGATGGTTAAGCGGAGAATCACGGGATATTTTCCAACCCCCCAGAATTATATGTCGGGGACATCTAGCGCCAGGGAAGTTGACAAAGGGCAGTGAAACAGTTTTTGCAAGGGGATGAGGATGGGCCCAAAGAGCCAAAGGTAGGTTGGCCCCAAGAGGCCACTGTGGAGAAATGGAAGCAGAAATGGCCTTGCTTGCCAACATCTGGGACTAGCTAGTATTTTGTCCCAAGAATCCAGAACCAGAAGAAACAAGTAAATGAAGTGATTTTTTTTTTTTTTTTGAGCAATATCAGAGAACAATGACTGTTTTGTACACTTTGGGCTTTAGACACAGTTGAATTTATTTTCTCTCCTACTACCCCAACCCCCTAAACACACATGTTTTAAAAAAGAGGTGATGGTGGCAGACACCACTTGCCACCAAGTCCCCTCTTCGGGTGGGGCTTGCCAATTAGGAAGGGAAGGCAGGCAGGCAGGGGACAGGCCAAGGCCACAGGCAGCGTGGCCCAGGATGGGGCTGCTGAGGGGGTCTGTTCTGCTGGGAGGCTGAGAGGGTGGGCTATAGAAGGTAACGTCCATATCAAGTGTTTCTGGAAATATATGCACAGGGGTCAGACATTTTCTTAAAAAAAAAAAAAAGCAAGCAAGCACAAGGTGACTTCAGTGACTTAATTGTCATTAGCAACCTCCCGACCCTCTACCTGGGCCCCTGCAGAAAGCCTGATTCACTCCAAATGGCATCAGTGGCCTTCAGGGATAGGGGGTGGGTTGTCCTGTTCTGTTCACTGGTTTATTTCCTGGTCTACAGGAACGGGTCCATTGGACACAAGGAAAGGCCTTTGGGGAGCCCCAACCCCCAATAACTAACTCGATGTCCTATAATGTAACCCTACAGCCAACCTGAAAAATTAATGTGATTTATTGCAGTGGATGATCTTTTCAGGGAAGCAAATATCGAACCAAATGGTAAAGTGAAGTATGATGAATTTATCCACAAGATCACCATTCCTGTGCGGGACTACTGAATGAAGAGAACGTGAGAGAGCCTCCCTTGGGCCTGAGAACTCAGACTGAGAAGTTTTTGAAAAGAAAAGGGGTCTTTCACCTTTGGGGGGGGCGGATGGTAAACGCAGCAGCAGGATGACATGACCTGACGGCAGCAGGGGGTAACTTGGCGGTGACACAAAATGGTTTCAGCCTGGCATTAGTATGGCTTTAATAAAAGATTTGCATTGATTTTAACAACTGCCATGAGTCCAGCCCTTTATAGCATCGGAAGAGCCTGTGGTTTGGAGTTGGGCCTGGGTTCCAGTTCTGACTCTGCCATTTCCCAGCTATGTGACTCTGGTCATTTCACTCCTCAAAGCCTCAGTCAGATCCCTAAACTCAACTGGGACTCCTACTTCTTACCTCATGGAGCCTACCAAGGGTGGTCTGAGAGAAGGACTTGAAAACGCCATTGCAAACTGTAGAGCACTGTGCAATCCTGAGTCACCACGGCGGCACGTCTCCTAAACAGGGCAGTCTACCAAAAGACGCTATTCTGTATTTGGGTGCTGGAACCATCTTCCACATTTCCAAGGTAAAGCCAGTGCTAGCGGAGAACTAACATCAAGCAAAGAGCTAAAACAAACGAAAAAGTATGGTTAACATTTCTGGCAGCACCACGGGGCCACTTACACATTCTTAGTCCCAGCGCGACACACAGTGACATGATTCAGGATACTCGTTCATAAACACAGAGTATAGAGTGAACAGAGTCGCGTTAAAACAAGCGGCATCAGCGAGACCGCAGGCAGAGCGATGGGGCTTTGCAGCCCACACCGCAGGACACGGGATGTGACATGCTGCATTCCTCAGAGCCTTGCAGAGCGGGAGGAGCTCCTGCCGGAATTTCGAGCTCTATTGTTATCAGAGAGGGTCAGGGCGCGAGGATGGTCTGCTCAAGTGGGTCAAACTGATCATGGCTTCAAGCCGTTTCCCCAAGACTGATGGAAAGTAACGAGGGGATGGAACAGGCCATGGCCGGGATACAGCAAGAGCCCCACTGGGCCCTGTTCCAGCCGGAGCGGGGTCGTGAGTGAGGGGTGCAGCCAGGAGGTGCCAGGCTGGTGCTGCCTGTGTGCTCAACACGCTTGTGGACCTATCGGCAGTTGCAGCACAGCCCTGAAAAGGGCTGGAGTCCCACACCAGCCCGTGGAGCAGGGGGAGGCCAGAGCTCCAAGTTCAGAGATTTTCATCCGTATAGGTCTCAAGATTGGGCTCTCTGGGCTGTGGCTCTGCTTAATGGCGCCTGAGTGGCTCAAGCAAAAGAAAACCAAATGAAGAGGGAGGTGTGTCTTTTGGGAGGTTACACAAAACGCAAACCTAAGGGCTAAGCACCAGGGAACCGGCAGGGGACAAATCAGTGCAGACGAGATAATCTGCAATTATCTGACGATGCTGTGGCTGTCAGACCCAACCAAGGTCCTCAGAAAGGAGAGACAGCTCATTTTCCCAGCCGTGTTAACTGCCAGTAGGGGCGGGCAGGAACTCCTAAAAGCTGTAGAAGGGGGCAGGCAGTAAATGGCCCAGACACCAAGCAGGTGAGGTCGCTACCATCTAGCTGGGGGAGCCCAGGTTCACACAGTGCAGGGGCACATCCAGATTTTGTGCGGTCTGAGGCTTATACTACTGGATGGCCTTCTTTCAAGAATACGTGAATAGAAATACAGGATTGCCAGGGCTACTCACTCCTAGGACCCTTTTAGAGGCCAAAGTGGGGGCGGGGCACACACTGGTGCTTAAACTTCATTGCCTGAGGCCCCTCTGGCACCCCATAGGGAACGGCTGTATTGCACTTTCAGGGAAGGCTCAAGGGGCTGGCCCCCACGTCTCCTTTTGACTCATCATGGACATTAGGAAGTAAGTCCTGCACAGCTGATCTGGAATACCACGGCTGAGGCAGTAGATACCTAGGAGTTAGATGGGACAGGAAAAGGAAGTTCTGGGCCAGAATAAATAACAAGGGTACCTTCCCTCAAAGATTTTTAAACGTCTCGGTCACTGAATGGTCCCAGGATGGTTTTAAAGCAAGTTTTATTAATCTCATTTGCCAAACAGGAATCTGAAGTATAGCTTGCCAAAAGCACCTAAGCGGTGTGGAGCGGTCACTAGAACCTGGGGCTCATCTCTGCTGACTCAGTGCTCCTAACTAAGGGTGTTCGGTGGCTAGGATTCTAAGATCCTGTGACACGTCCTGATGTAAACCTCTACCCCAGGAAAGGCTTTTTATACTACCCCAAGTCCAGGTTTCGCATTCATCCCTGAAATTCCAGTTGGCTTACGTAGCACCTAGAGTTGTTTACAAAAAAGGCCACACTGCTCTTAGCGCTCAAACTGCAGATTACTAAACAGATTTAAAACTAAACAGATGCTATGGCTCAGTACAAAGCTTGCCACATTTCAGTGAGAAAGGGGCACGATGGCCGTATACGCCATTACTTACCTCAAAGCAAGTTGCAAGAGAATTAGTTAATTGCCATGCTTTGAAATCTCTGGATGAAAGGTGCTTTGGAAGCACAAAGCATTATCATTTTTCTCATAGGGATTGTCCCTTGAATACCCACAGTATTATTTTACAGAAGACAAATTAACTGAAGGCTTTTCTTTTATTACATCTAAAGAGCTCTACATAAACAGGTAACATTCAATAGGTAAACAATTTTTTTCCAATGCATGTAATAAATATTTTCACTTGGTACTTTTATACAAACTGACATTGGTCTACTATACATTTTTAAAAGCCATTTTACTGGTTTGGCATGCGGTATGGAAATTCTAAGAGAGAAAGTTTTAAGGCAATGAATCACAGATTTAAGTTCATGGAATTTATGGTAACTTTTATATCTGTTTATATACATTTCCCCTTTGTTAATTAAACAATTAACAGCAGCACACTCTGGGACCACCAGCTATTCTCCCTCCCTCTTTCTGAAATCTAAGCTTTGTGTTGTTGTTTTTTTTTTAATTAAAAAACAATTCAACATGTATTGATAAAACAAAATTCTTACTAAAATAATTTTAAATGTGCTTTAAAGTCCTGAAGATCTTGAAGTGTCTTATGTATTTAAACTTGGAATTGTTTAAAAATGTTCTTTCCACAATTAGTTCATTTAAAATTGGTATATATTTTCATTCAGTTTCAGACATTTGACTCTAAGGAAAATCTGCCAAGAAATCACATTTATCAGAAGCTTAAGTGCAATCTTTCTTAAGTCAGTAATGATACAGAAATGTGAAAATATCTAAATTAACAGAAGAAAAATTTTAATGCTCAAAATAAATTAGTCAACCAAGTGTGATATGGTTAAGGTTCAGATTGTTTTAAAAAGATGTGTCCAATAATGCCCACAAAAATAATTAAAAGCCACTTCAACCCTGCTAAGTCAAACAGCTATTTTATCAAAGATGTGTGCGTATATACACACACCCACACACAGAGAGTCCTACAGAAATACAATCATATGCACACCCTATTATGAAAGACCAAGGCAAGGGGATGGTGGCAGCTTGCCAAAAGACTGAGAATCGCTATTTGTCCACAGACAGCATGTCAGTGTTGGTGTGGGTGGGGGAGTGAGGGTAGGCTAAGGAAAAAACAGATGAAATAACTATGCACTTCTTTTAACTTAGAACAGTGCAGTGCAGGACTCTACCAGTAACTAGTACAGATCATGACAGTCTGACTGACTGGTATCGACCGTAAGACCAACAGAGTGATAGCTACCACCCATGCAACACTTTGGAAAGTCAACAACTTTCCAAAGAAACAAGCTCCTTAGAGTGGAATGAGCATCAAAAGACAATCGAATGGTTCGTTTCTCCTGTGGAGACATGACCAAAGCCACTAGACAGACATTTCTTTCTCCCTACTACCTGTTTTCCCTTAGGTTGGTATAATGCAGGACACTGAGGGAAACTCACCATCCCCAAAACTGGGCTGAAGAAAGGAGAGGGATGGGTTTTCAACTGGATCATTCAGAGTTTGGAATTCAGCATCATACACAGTTATTGATCAGAATTTTGAGACCACTAACAACGACAGAAAAACAAAAAAAGAGAATACAGAAAACTATTCATTTTAGGTAGCTGAATTAATAGAAATGTTTCCTATTACAGTGTGAAATAAGAAGCAACACCCCACAACTGGAGTGATTTCTATCCCAATCTGAATTTAGACACAAATTACGGTACCATTAAATATTAGCCTAAGTTAATATAGCTATGAGAGTTCTTAAAAGAGCTTACTCACCATAATAGCAGATTCATTAAAAAGCTTAACTAATTCCTGTTTTCACTGACAATGAATCTTTTTTGTTTTTATTGCAAATTGTTTAGTGACTATAACTCAGCCATGTATGTGTGGAATACACATGCGTTGGGGAAGACTATATAACTCACGTGTCACTCACACTTGTCTATAAATACATATATACACACACACATATACATATCAACACCAACTTGTTTTTCAAAATTCAAGTCAACAATTTAGTGGCAGAGAGATGCTGTAAAAAACATATTATTTTTAGATGCCACACAGTCATGTGAACCGTTAATTTTATCATACAACTGAAGATACAGCCATCTTGAATTCTACCTGGAAAAAGTAGGTCACTTGTTACCACTGCAAGGTTGAAGCAACACTTTTATACACAAAGGTGGTCCTTCATCAACTCTGAGAACAACTCTGAGAACCTGAACAGTTGTGACAGAAAAACCCAGGCTGGGAAACTGGTAATTGTTATGCCCCTTCCTTCTTTATATCTTTTCTGTTAAGCCGCCTAAGCCTCTCCATCAGCTAGAAGATACTTTCCACACCCTCAGGTGCTCCCTGAAGAACGTGACACCTTCTCTAAAGAGGATTTTGGAACACAAGTAGAACCACCTTCCTTCCCTCCAGCCCACATTCATCTCCTGAAAAACAGTTCTCACTATATTTACATGTTCCATTATGAATAAATAGATGAGATTGATCCATGAATTGTAGGGGGAAAAAAAAAAATTGACTTTCCTATGTCATGCTTCTCTTTAAAAGGTGAAGAAAAAATAAAACAAACAAGATAGCTAGGCTAAGAAAAGAAGTACACTCAGATCCAGAGAGTAAAAATGACCAAGGATCAAGCCTATTTTGCATTTCAACTGTTTATCAGATAGTGGATTTCTAGATTGACATGTGTGCTACACTGTATTTTCCGAAGAGAATTTACTTTTAGGATAATTGACTTTCTTTCTTTTTCAAGGTGATGTAACCTTACCTCTGTCAGCTGCACAAGACACCCAACACGGCTTTCGAAGCTATTTTTACTTCCTACTTTGGCATGAAGATCTCACAGGAAAACTTGTTACCCTGTGGCCAAAAAGGCAGGTGTTCACAGACTTGGTTTAAATACATAATACTGGCAATCCAAATTTAGAAGAAAGAACTAGACTAAAGTGTATTATTCACAGGTCTGCCAAGCCTACTCCTTATCCAGATAGCTTTACTCCAAATCTCTAAAACATATTCTCAGGGGGTATCTAGCAAATAAGAGAGAATATGTGATGGAGAACATGCAATTGGGATATCAATAAAGATGCTCATATGTGAGTTCAAGACCTTCAGAGCACTTTGAAAGAAGCAGGCAACTGATTTATCAACTGAATGCAAACTTGGGAGGAGAAGGAACAGTAACAACGGAAAAATATACACAGACACACACACTGAACACACACCCCCACGAGCTAGGTCCTGAAAATACACAGGGAATGCAGTGGGACAGATGAGATTTATAACTTAAGGCTGGATATAATATGCACACACACAAAGAGAATCCAAGTCTGTCCTTTTTAGAAAATGGAAATGAAAACTATCCCCCCCAGGCCCCTCCCCACAACAAAGAAAAGCCCACAATTTAAAACTTCATACATGCAATTCCTTTTCTGTTATTGCAAATAAAATAATGCCATTGAAGTAAAATAAAACCAAAACCATAGGACAAATGATGAAAAAAAAAAAATCTTCAGAATCCAGAAAAAAAATGAACTGAAGGTGGTTTGTGGGTACTGTTTTTTTTTTTTTCTTTTTTTCTTTTCTTTCCTTTTTTTTTTTTTGTTTTTTTTGTTTTTTACAAGTGTTTTATCAGACAGGCAGTCTTAGATTTATATACAAAAGTAAAACTGAAAATATAGTTTTGTTCTCTGTACATTTCTTTTAATTTTTTCCCTAAAAAAAAGGAAAAAAACACGCTTGTGTACTTTTCTAAACAGAATAAGGTAAAACATAGCACAAAGTTCTCTTCTTTCTGCCAAGTTCATTTCATCTGGGGCGGGGGTGGGAGCAGCAGGGGCAAGGGAATCAGTCCAATGAAATAATGTCTGGTATGATGCCAAAGATGGAGGCCGTGTCCGAGCCGCTCCTGTTGGCGACGCTGTGGCCATGGCCGTCCCGCAGGCTGTTGGAGGACACGAGGCTGCTGTTACTGCCGCTACTGCTGCCGTTGGTGGCCGGCAGAGAAGTGCTGCCTCCTGCGCTTAACTGATCGAGAAACATCTGCGAGGAGGTATACGGGAAAAACCGAGACGAGTGTAAGAGGTCTTGATCATCTGACACTGCTGCGGCGGCGGCAGCCAGGAGGGAGGTGTTATAATGCTGGCGGAGGGGGGGACGGGGAACAGAAGACACAAAACCCATCAGTTCTAATTCATAAACCTTCTTCTCAGCAGAACAGAGTCCTCGGTGTAATATTACTGCATAGCGGCTACGTCTGAGGTACCTAATAAAACACTTCGCAAAATCAGATGGCCTTATGTAACGATCACAACCTTGATCTTGAGAGACATTTTGGTACTTTAAACTGGGGGGGAATACCAAAATAAAATTGGTACTGTTTTTTTTTGTTTCAATTTGTAACGCAAACAATTCTCAAAATTCTATTTCCAAAGAGGCGTATGCTCAGAAGCAGCAGGAAAGAAGACAGTCCACCCTCTTTCTCTTATGGAGATATTTGGCCAAGAATTTGTCAATTGATTTACTGCCCTGTTTCTTCATAAAAAAGTACTGGAAACCAACAAATAGATACTGTTCCTACTATGTACTCAGACACAGTAGAAACAAGGGGATTTTTATATAAATTCTTAAAACCTTAACAATAATGAGTAGGGTTACTCTGAATTTCCTAAGAAATTTATCTTCTCTCTCAGCTACATATTATACTTATAAATATTTTAATGTGCAATTAAAACAACAGCATTTTTTTTCATATAACATACCTGATTGTCTCCTGATAAGAAAGGAAAGAAATCTAATCCTGTGAGAAAAAAAATTATTTTAGTTTTGAAAAACAAAAGAAAAAACCCTCCCTAATGCCCCCAATACTCCAGAAACAAATAAAATGCTAATTCTAAATTCATTTAGAATTTAAACAACAGTGGAGCTGAATGTTGTACGTCTCTCCCATCTCTAGATTACCAAGGCTGAAGTCCAAGCCATGATTTGCCCTCCTTGTAACTCCATTTGTGGGATCTGGGCCACTGCTGCCCTGTTGGATCCAACACTGATCCCTTAAACTGACAGAGCACTTTTCACTAAATGTTCTCATCAACTCCTCTTAAGTAACATTTCAAACTACTCTAATTTACTCCTCACAAGCACCTATGAGGTAGGTCATTATTTCTGGCTGCATTTTGTGGGTGGAGAAAAGTTTTATGTAGAAGGAAGTTAAGCAAGCTGGAGCACAGATTTTTTTTCTTTCTCAAATTTGCCTGCTCGCCACTATCTGTACCAGATTCTAACTCAGAGACCCTCCAGTGGCAAGAGGAGAGCGGGGGAGAGATCTGAAGGGTGTCTGGTTGCTGGGGTGGTGCATCACAGAACGACCAGCTCTGATTCCTGGCTGCCGGGGAGTCAATGCAAGCTGCCCCTTCTAATTCCCACTCTTGTATCACTCAATGTGTAATGTAATGAAGAACAAGAAAACCCATGTGAATAAAATGCCTTATTATGAGGTCTCAACTTGGCGGAAAGGACAACAAGCAGATGTAGTGAAAAATACGACAACAACACAAACACTCTGGGGATCCATCCACTATCTACACTAGAACAGATTATAACATGAGGACCTGCAAAATGGATAGCACTGTGGTTCATGATAGTGAGACTGGGCAGTAGCCTAAGTGAGAAACAGGGCTGCACTTAGCCACATGATGTGGGTATCTAAATTTATTAAGATGAAGTAAAATGAAAAACTCAGTTCTTCAATCACACTAGCCATGTTTCAAATGCTCAATAACCTTATGTGGCTAATGGCCACTGTAAATTACAACATTGCCCTCACTGCAGAAGGTTCTATTGGACTGAGCTCAAATAGGGTTTTCCTAACAATCACTAAGAATCTACTCAACTATCTCAGCTTCCAAGAATCTTTGCACCGGATTCTTGGCCCCGGCTTTTTCTGTAGGGGAGGGGTGGAGGAAAACTTCCATTTTAATTTTTTTTTTAATTTTCTACAATGAGCATATATAGCTTTTTTGGAATAAAAATGTCCCTAGATATACAAATTATTAAATTACAAAGATATAGGAGAAAAACCAATAATTTTTTGATAATGTAAATGATTATTATCAACTCAAAATACATTGTGCAGTGAGTACACTGACATTTCAAACTACTTTTAAAAGGAAGAATCAGGTTCACTGGAACAAAAATTAAAACTTTCCAACGTCTCAATTCAGCACTATTTTAAAGATAATACAACACAGTTACCCACGTTGCCTGTTGCATTATAACTGGATTCAGGGAACAAAGAATAATTTTCATAAATATTAAAATTCAAAGCAACATACTGAAAGTCACCCCAAAACAACTTACAGACTATTTTGAAGCTCACAAAACCTAAAGATCATCACATGACATTCACCACTGGTAGTAAAACACTGGCTACTGATGAAGGTCCAAGCAAAAAACTGGATCTCTATTTATTTATGACCACAGTATATATTTCTCCCAGTTCCCTAGGCCCAAGCCCCCATTTTATCAATCTTTCCATTCTTCCTTAGACTCACCCGGAGGAAGACTATGTAGATGAAAGGTATTTATAATGCTATGTGACAACAGAGAAGGACCGGTGACTCACCTTGTAGGTCATAAGGCATGGGTGTCATGTGGAAAGGGTGCCTGTAGTCTTGGATGAGGGAAGTATTAATGTAGCTTGTGTCTACAGCAGGGAGGCTTGGGGTGCGGGACACCGGAGACGCTTGATGTGGAAGACTTAATATGCTAGAAGAAGGAAAAGGTTCGCATAATTTTCATGAGTTAGCTGAACTTCTAGGTTTAACAAAGGGACTGTATCTCACAAAATGAGTCCTAGCTTTTGTGCTGGAAATAAAAAGACAAGCAAAGCAATATATAATTTAGACTATCACTAGGAAATAATCTGCATATACAATAGCACTTTGCAGGGGCTATAAGGAGAAATGGATGGGTGCAACGGTATATCCAACATTCATAAATCGCATGCTGTCTCATCTACACTTTTAGAATGCACGGCTGAGCCACTTCAGTGAGAAATGAGCGAAAGATATCTATAGCAGCTGAGATTCTGAAACCTTTTAAAAATAAGCACTGAGTGTTGTCTAGTAAAAAGTATAGGTACGTCCTCGCAAAGAAAACACATACAGACGAGCCTGGGGGACGGTAGCAATCTGAGCAGTAGAGTTAACAGCTGGCCCCCAGACTTGTGAGCTTTATGGAACAGAGACAAGGAACTGTTTATCCTGGTATTCCTAATGCCCCGCACACTCATCAGCACACTGTTTGCATACAAGGCCTGCTGAATGAACGAAGGCAGTGAGACAAGAAGAGATGCTCCAAAATGAACAGGTGGTGGAAAGGTTTTAAAGGGAGTACAGAACTGTTGCGGGGTGGGGGGGGGGGACGACAAAAAAAGGGATTCTGGAAGAACAGCATGAAATGTTTAAGTAACGGAGAAGTTAAATCTTTTTTTCTTTTTAAAAAAGATTTATTGGGGCGCCTGGGTGGCTCAGTTGGTTAAGCGACTGCCTTCGGCTCAGGTCATGATCCTGGAGTCCCTGGATCGAGTCCCGCATCGGGCTCCCTGCTCGTCAGGGAGCCTGCTTCTCCCTCTGACCCTCCCCCCATCTCATGTGCTCTCTCTCTCTCTCATTCTGTCTCAAATAAATAAATAAAATCTTTAAAAAAATAAAAATAAATAAATAAATAAATAAAAAAGATTTATTTATTCATTCCAGAGAGAGAGAGTGCATGAGCGAATGAGCATGGGGGAGGGGCAGAGGGAGAGAGAATCCCAAGCAGACTCCATGCTGACCGTGGAGCCCGATGGAGGCTCGATCTCATGATTCCAACATCATGACCTAAGCTAAACCAAGAGTCGGATGCTTAACTGACTGTGCTACTCAGGCGTCCCTAAATTTTTTTTTTTAACAAAAAAATTAAGTAAAAAGCAAAAAGGTGTGAGAAAGAGATGAAAAAGAAAAGGAAGAACTGAGTGCAAACATAAGGGTCATGTCCTATCCCAACCATAAAGAGGCTAACAGGCATGTAAGTTTTGGAAAATAAAGAGAAAAGAAGGTATAAAGAGGCTGTTTTTTGCTTGTAAAACTTCATATAAAGTACTTGGGTGTGGAGATGCAATTTCAATGGTGCAATGCAAGATCAGAATATTTCAAAAGAGGCCAAGGCTGGATTTCTAGGAATAGAGTTCTACTTATGATCATCTACCACAGTTTCATGAATGGAATATGAAGCATAAAATACACTCTCATCTGCCTCATAAAAATGTTTTGTCTAATGGAAACTTAATTAATTAAACCTCTTACATCCATAAAAAGTACCATTTTCCATTAGCTGTCTCCTCTGACAATGCCTAAGGGATTACAAGAGAGAAGAAAGCAGATGAAATGCTAGCCTTTGAAAACATCTTGGTATACCAAACAGGAAAGGAAACTTCTGGATGAATGCTAAACACCTGGCAGCTGAAGATAGCAAAATGCTTTACATTTACTAATGTTTGTCTCTAATTCCTGGCTGGCAGCTTTCCTTTCAATTTTGTGATAATATTCTGAAAATGCATTTCCACCTTTACACTGCACAATAACAAATACAATATGCTTAGGGTTCAGGTTTTTATTTATTGGATAGTCATTATTGTAAAATGGCCACTAGTGTTGAATATGGCGTTATTCTTCTAAAAATGCCATAAACTTTCAGGCTGCTTGTTTTTATCCAAAAACAGAGAAAGGTCTGACATTTGTAAATACTGTATCTGGGTTTACTTGGTCACTGGGAATCTCAGGAAGTAGTTAATGCATCTAATGTCATTTTCTAAACATAAAAAACACAACTATTTTTGGAAAAACAGCAAATATCCAAAGAATTGAAATATTAGATTTTTAAACACTCAAAAGTTTCTCTTAAGGAAAAATGTATAGTCAAGAGAGCAAAATTACCGCACAGTTCACATATATATATGTGACTACTATAAATATTCTAAAGAGTAGAACTAACTTACACATAATGGTGCTTTTATTCCACAAAGTATTTACACACCCAGAGATTTATGAAATATCTTTTAATGTTGCAATTATGGTATTTAAAGAAATAATGTGATAATGTGTATTTGGTCATAATATGGTTTGATACATAAAATATCTCGGAATCAAGATTATATCGGTATCTGTTTTAACTACACCAACTTTTGGCCATTTGACTTTTCTTTTTCTCCCACTCAGATTTATAAAATAAGTTGGTGTAGTAACAAGGTCAGGCTTGTTGGGCAGCAGACATCAAGGCAGGCTTTCATCAGAGGTAAATCTTCATAAAATAGGATTTAAAGTAGAAATTAGTGTTTAAGATAATTCATTCTTTTTTAGAATAATACTGCTATTAATGTCTTTATTGGTGTCTGATGTTTGCTAAGCTACTCTAGAGTGAAAATACCAACCCATGTAACAGGTCTGATTGTATTATGAAGATTCCTGAAACAGTCAAAGTTTTTAACAAGTGAGATACATTTATCACTATTATGCTTTTACTGTTGCACCTTTCCAGTAATTACAAATATTCTCAAACAGAAGATCTTTTATCTCATCAGTCTCAAACCTGAAAATTATTTCACTCCAAGCATGGAAATGCTCGCTCTTGGTCTGGTGTTAACTTTCCCTCTTGAACCTTGAAATCTTGCAACAATGCCTTCTGTGGACCTTCCTTCTCTCACTTAACATTCTTTCTTCAGGCAGGAGATTTTTTGAATAGCTCCTATTCAGTTCCAAAGGGCTACATCATTCTCCTGATACACACCTAAAAAGGGGCACACCTATTTCTAGATTTACCTTTAGTGTGCTACAACTGTGCCTCAGCAAAACATGAAGCTTTTTGTTGAGAATCCCCGATATGTCTCATGAGGCTGAGTCTATTTAAGAGTACAGCTAGAGCTGGCTACTTGTTTTACCATCCTCCACAAAATGTTAAACCTTTAAGGTTAGGACTGTACTTACTCATTTTATTATCATCCATGTTAGGCACAGGGTGTTTTACCTAAAGCAGATAACAGTGTTTGCTAAACTGAACTGAAGCATAACCAAGGTACATTATTACTGATAGGAGACTAATGGGAAATATGGGAAATGAGCTAGCAAAACAGAAGGCATTGTGCCCTGCAACTTCAGGCTCCGACTTCTTTCACTGCCAACCTCACACACACTGAAGCAGGTTTTTTTTTTTTTTTAAGATTTCATTTATTTATTTGTCAGAGAGAGAGAGAGAGAGCACAAGCAGGGGGAGTGGCAGGCAGAGGGAGAGGGAGAAGCAGGCTCCCTGCTGAGCAGGGAGCCCGATGTGGGACTCGATCCCAGGACCCTGAGATCATGACCCGAGCCGAAGGCAGTCGCTTAACCAACTGAGCCACCCAGGTGCCCTCCGAGGCAGGTTTAAAGCATTCCTCTGGTCTACCTGTTTTCTACTTGAAAGACTCAACTCAGGATTAATCTTACAGCATACATTTCCAGTTTGAGTAAATGTTTTAGATCCTACGAGTAGCAGTAAGATCACCTAAGAACTGATCAGAGATACGAATTTTCTCAGTCCCTACTCCTGAATCAGACATGGGGGAATAGGGGAGCAATGTGTGTTTTAATGAGCCCTCTGGGTGATTCTGCTGTACACCAAGGTTTAAGATCACTGTACTAGAGTATCTTTTGGTATGATAAATACTGTACCCAAGGGACTCCTTTAATGCATTATCCCAGCCCCTCAAGAATATCACACACTTAGGGAAAATCCAACCTATTCTTTGATTACTAAGTTAAGTTTTACAATCATGCATAATCATTTTATTTGGCAGATCTTTTAAATTGTATTTGCAAAATTAACTTTCACAGTGACTTTTCAAGGTCTCAGTACTTACCCTTTATTATTTAGTGGTGATGTGGGAGATAGGGAAGGACAGGTCCTCTTGGCAGACGGCTCTTCTTCCTCTTCATCAGATGAACTGTCTATGGTTAAATCAATCACCTCTACTTTCTTATTTTTATTTGAGGACTGGTGGTGAGAAGCCACCTGATGCTCCAATGTGGAGCTCAAACATCCTGTGTGGGAATGATCAAAACACAAGGCAAAAAAGACCTATGACACCTCTCTTTTCTTCCTCAGTGTGCCTTATGGATTAGTTTATCAATTACAGTTTAGACTTACAATACTGCTGGGGTCAAAGAGTAGTAGCTCTGGTCCCCTAAGCTTAAAGCTACTAATTATTATTGGTTGTTAAAGGGGTTTTTTTGTTTTGTTTTTTTTTTTTGAAAGACAATTCTGAATTAGGGCAAACAATCAAAATGTATGTCTACTTCAGAATAAAAGCAGTTTGAGGGTAAAGACTATATATTACATATGTACCTGGGATACTTAAGAAATGCATGGTAACATTTTTTAAAAGTCATAGCTTCCTTCCAGCAAAAACATACTAAAAACCAGAAAAATAACATAAATGAAGAAACATTCACTAATCTTTACCAAATCTCTTAAACATTTAAAAGGATACCATTTCAAAAGCATGACCTTACAAATGACTTATTAGATTACGTTGCTTTTAATCTTGTATCCCAAAAATTTAAAAGCTGGCAAAGTGAATTTAAAGAGTTCTCTACTACTTCTGAACATTTAATCAATAATTTAATAAGAGTTACTGAGCTACCCATAAACTGCTGAATTTTTCAGAAATGTATACTTTTTTAAAAGTTTATTTTTTTTTTAGTAATCTCTGCACCCAACGTGAGGCTCAAACTCACGAACCCAAGATCAAGAGTCACATGCTCTGCTGACTGAGCCAGCCAGGCGCCCCCAGAAATATGTTATGTTTTAATACTGAAAAGCAGGGCTATGCAACAGCAGGGAGACCGCCCCACCCTTCTGGAAACCAGCACTCACCATCAACTCCATTGTAAGAGGCAGAGACTTCCTGTACTTCCTTTTTTGATCTCATAGGTGCCCAAGAGCCATCCTCCTTAAACTGTATCTCATCACAGTCTGTACAGTACTTTAGGATCTCCATGAACAAGCTACAAAAAACACGTGGTCCTCTGAATATCACATTCTAAATGAAAGCAGACTAGAAGCATTGCTGTTCAAAAAACATTCAGACCGCCTATGTTTTGCATAAGTATAAACGAGAAAGAAGAAAGGAGAACAGACAAGTTACATTTGTTCTCAAAATCGAGGCCTATTTTAGGGAAATATTACTTAGATTATGGTACCTTATACAAGGTACCTTATATATCCATGAAAAATGAGATTTTCAAATATTTTTAATAATATGGGAAAATATTCACAGAAAGTGAAAAGAGGCCAAGAAAATACAATTCTGTGCGTGAATGGTACATAAAACAGCAGTTATTTCTGCGTGGGGACATCATGAGTATTTCTTTTTCTCCTTTATATTCTTGTGCATCGTCCAAACTATCTACAATAAGCATATCTTACTGAAGCAATACATACAAAAATATGTACTGAATGTTACACCTCCTTGAAAAATATCATGCAGATATTAAGAAGTGAGATTTGCAAAAACAATGTGTAAAAGTGTCAAATTCTGAAATGAAACCAAAGGATAAAAAATATTAATACTGTACAATCACAATTCTGTAAAAACAAAAATCAGAAAATACACCACAAAGCTCTTTTATTAATTCCTGTTTTCCAATTTTTTCTTTAAATGTGTGTATAGATACGTGTGTGTGTGTGTGTGTGTGTGTGTGTGTGTATGGCTTTTAAAATAAAGAAAGATCCCAATTGACGGAGGAGGGGATCTAAAGCTATATAATATACAGCGTTGGCAAAATATTATTTAATTTAGATTTATTAGTGATCACTGTCATTTCTGAACAATTAAACATAAAACATTTAAGTGACACATTTACTTTTTTCCCATGATTGGTCTGCCATCTTTCAAGCTCCAGGTGACACTGTATTATTAAATATATCCCCTTTCTAATGGTACATCTTCAGACTCCTGAGTTTTCTCAAATGCTGTAGATAAGTTGCCTTAAGTGTTTTGCTGGCGAGTACAGGAACTATCAAGAAGATCCTTCTTTCCACAATTTATCTTTGTTCAGTGGCAAAAAGGACAAGGAAGGAGGCTAGAGGATAGGGGTACATTTAAAGAAACACTCCAAGATGTCTGGAAGGACAGATAAAACACAGGAGTGTTTAAAAAAACAAACAAAAAACCCTGATTGTTGTGATGCTGTAGGGGACAAGAAAGACAAAGACAAGTATTTCAGAGGAAACAGAGAAACCAAGAAAGCTGCTATTCAGCATGCTGATCACTTTTAGCAGCCCTTATGGTGGGGAATAGGTTTGATGAACCATGACTGAAGCATGAGAAAAATCTGCAAAAACAGGTTAACTTCCACTAAAAAGCCCAATTTGGGTGAGCTTAAGTAACCAGAGTTTCACAATGCTTTCACTCTTTCTCTGATATGGTCTGCATGGCTAGGGGTAGATGGATTCATGTGAGGAATAGGTGTAAGCATACCTTACTTAGAACCCGTGGTACTTCAAATAGTAAAAGTCAGGAGAAACAGATGGTAAAGCATGCACTGCCCACACAGAAGGATGTCAACGTAAAAAGGAAAAATGCTCACAATATTACTTACTTATTTTGAAAACTACTGATTTCTAGAATCAGGAAAATCCTAAAAATATATTACTCAGAAAACACTACCTATAGAATTTTCATCCTAAACCTGACAGATAACAAATCCAAATAAGAGATGGTCATTCCAAGGTATAAGGAAACACTTTGACATACCCATCAATAATAAGGTGTTCATACGGAGCCTTCTTATCACAGACAGGACAAACCCAGGTTGGTTTTTTCTCATTCATCTGAATATAAAGAGTTGCATCAAAACACTGCAGATGAGAACATGTCAGGGCCCGGCATGGAATTGTCAGCCGCATTTTACCAAGCTTTAAAAGACGGAGACAAAAGTAAATATTAGGCAACTGTTATTCAATTTAAGTTTTGATAAAAATCTCCTGAAACACAATGTGTATGTATTCTGACTTAAAGCATATTATATTTACTTTTCATCAATATGGAAGAAGATTAAACACATTTTCTATGAAACCTACATGTTTAAAAAATTATAGTATTTCTTTAGATATTAAACATAGTGACTATGGAAAGTCTATAGCAAGGGTTATTCCCCCGCCCCCAAGCTCATAGATCAGCTTTTGGGGGAAAGAACCACGAACTCCTTAAAATTATATGTAAAATTTTGCAAGTTTGTACATTTCCCCAGAGAGAGCACTTTCACCGAATTTTTTTTTTTTAAAGATTTTTTAAATTTATTCACTTGAGAGCGAGTGGGGGAGGGGCAAAGGGAGAGGGGGAAGCAGACTCCCTGCTCAGCAGGGAGTCCAACGCAGGGCTCAATCCCGGGACCCCAGGATCACGGCCTGAGCCAAAGGCAGATGCTTAACTGACTGAGCCACCCAGACGCCCCACCAAATTCTCAGAGTAGTCTCTGATCCAAAAAAGTTAAGAACCACTTTACTAGGGATTTGGGAAATGGAAAAAGAATGTCTTATTAAACACTGCAGGATACAGATATAAAGTCATCCAACCTGATCTCTGAATAAGGGTAGTTCACATGTGAAAACAGAACGAAGGGCAGGCATTCCCCAGGATGTTTGGCAGAGTTGCCAAATGGCAGCTCTGAGAAGGAAGTCAAGTGTGTGCACTCTGTTTTTCCTCCCTTACTGCGCACTATCACAGACAATTCGGCAAACATCCCTAGACCTCTAGCATCTCCACCATGTTATGACACTTTTCTCTTCTCACCTTGCAAATGCTGCTTAAGCTGAGGTTGAGTCTGTCCTGTGAAAAACGAAACCTAGTTCATCCGGTCCCTGAGCTGCTAGCTTGGGCTCAGGGCACGGAAGCTGCACTGAGAGCTGTCACATCACAGCTCCTTCCCTGGAGGCCACCTCACAGAGTGCAGCTGGGTGACCACTGTGGGGCCCCCCTGGAGGCAACAATGGCCAACCAGTAGAGAAGTTATCTATTTTCAATAACCACACTGTTTGCTATCCAGGAAAAGATTTCCCACATACTTGCAAGCTTGAAAAACATAAAGGCTTGAAAAGGATATGAGTTAAATGAGGAAAGAAAGAGGAAAAGGATTTTGGCTTAGAAGAATTTCAGGGAAATGTGCAATTTCCTAGGAAGTCTACCAAGGAAATTAACTGTCATTTGTAGCCCTAAATAATTGTTCTGGTACCAATGATTTACTGTGCCTCTAGGAAAGGCACTTAACCTTTCTGGGCCTCTTTTTCTATCTCCAAAGTAACACTGTTTCCTCCTTACTTCAACAGGATGTAGTGATGAAGAACAAAACAGGACCCAGGCTGTGCTGTAAGCTTATGAGAAGGGAGTAGTGCCAACTTACAGTGTTAGAAGTACAGGCTGGAGAGACACAGAGCAAACGGACAGCTCCCTTCTCTGTGTGCGCCCAACTCCACCCTGTGCATGATTATGGACTACTTGTTTATGTATGTGTCTCCTCCTACTAGAAATACATCAAACTCAATCCCTTATCCCTGGCACTTGGAAATGTATGTGCTACACAGCAGGAAGACGGTCATGTGTTTGGACTGATAAGGCTTTGGCTGTGCTTCACTGAGCAGCTCTAGGAGGGACCACTCATGGAGAGTGTGGGGGCCGCATGCAGTACTTTACGAGGCAGGCCGGAGTATGAATTCTGGAGTTAGACTACCTAGATTTGAATCCTGGCCCCACTACTTACAGTGGGAATCCTGATCTCACGTAGTGTCCCTGAGCCTCAGCTTTGTAAAACAGGGATAAAAATACCATCTACATCATAAGACTGTGGGATTTAAATTATGTTATGTTGTGTTATGTTAAATTATGTTATGTGTTACGTTATGTTAAATTATGTTATATGCCTGACATATAGTAAGTGCTCAATATATGTCACCCATTATAATTAAAGTACAGAAACATTATCTGCTCAAATCACTTGGTAAGCTAATGGGAGACACACCCATATCAGCTCAGTCCTTCTTCCATTCTATGCTCACGTTAAGATTAAACAACTCTTTACTCCCCTTTACTCTTCTATTACTCAATTTTTATGATTTGATGTATACAAGCTCCTGATGAAAAGGCAAAAAAAGAACAGGGGCGCCTGGGTGGCTCAGTCGTTAAGCGTCTGCCTTCGGCCCAGGTCATGATCCCAGGGTCCTGGGATCGAGCCCCGCATTGGGCTCCCTGCTCCGTGGGGGGCCTGCTTCTCCCTCTCCCGCTCCCCCCGCTTGTGTTCCCTCTCTCTCTGTCAAATAAATAAAATTAAAAAAAAAAAAAAGAACAAACTAGTTCTTATAACAGAAGAATCATATATTTATTATTAGCCAAAACATGTTGCATTAGTCCAGAAACATTTTCCAAATAATGAACTGCTTGGTGGTGCTAAATTAAATTTTTATATCTTAAAGCAGACCTTAACTTACCTGTGAAGTACAAATTGCTACTGAGCAGGTATTTTTCCTAATGCTTAAATACTTAATAGAGAAACTGCAGACTGGAAAATCCTAGACAAATACAGTAATTGTAGATAAAGTCCACATATTGCAGAATTAGTAGGCCACTTTGGATAGTTTATGAAGACAGTGCATAAGAAGGTAAAACATAAAGCTGGTTTCAGAATCCAAGCTATAGGCCATAGAACTTACACTCTGAAAAGCAGTTATTCTCTAAACAATCATCTCACAGACTTTCCTCCCTCTAATCCCCACTTGTCAGCTCATCTTTTTGGTGAGAGAGCTACTCTCAAGCCCGTATGATCAGCCACACTGACAAATTTACCCAGAGTCTTTAAGGACCACTGCTACGTGAAGGATGCAGGAAAGACATTTATAAATGGGTACAGAAAAGGAAAAGTTCACTTCCAAATGCGCTGTTTATTAGCTGTCACAGAAATGCTTTGCTTCAAAGAATCACTAAGTGTTATGTGATAATACTCCTCATATTTCTGATTTTAAAAACAATCTCTAGGGCACCTGGGTGGCTCAGTTGGTTAAACAACTGCCTTCAGCTCAGGTCGTGATCCTGGAGTCCCAGGATCGAGTCCCACATCGGGCTCCCTGCTCAGGGGGGAGTCTGGTTCTCCCTCTGACCCTCTCCCCTCTCATGCTCTCTCTCACTCTCTCTCTCTCAAATAAATAAATAAAATCTTAAAAAAAAAAATCTCTAAATCCTAAACACTTATCTATAAATGGACACTGATTTCTCCTGACAAGGAGAAAAGCAGAGTTTTAAACATCTTCATCTTATAATCCTAAATTCCTCCCTTTCCTTTATAGGGCATGTGGATATTTACATCATTTGCAAAACACTCTGAAATCAGCCCCCAAACAAGTCTTCCAATGACACTACCCTTACTATAACATATAATAGTACTATTTAGTAACTGAGGATGCTGCAGGAGAAAATACACTACCTAGGTATGTTAAACTAGCTTATATATCAAAAGGACCCTAAAAAGTCAATATGTATTTTTTTCCTTGTAAGAAGAAAGGAATAGTGATATCAAGAATAATTTCACAACTTCTTCATTACCATCATCAATATTTCATAAATGAATTTCCGAGGAATTTATTTTTTTTTCTTCTACCAATTCCAAGTCATTTGTATTGAAATTCATAGGTCTGGGGAATAAATATCTCACAAAGTAGGTTCTCAAACATTCTCCCAGCTGTTTTTTGTTTTGTTTTTTAAGATTTATTTATGTTAGAGAAAGAGAGTGCACAAGCGGGTGGGGGTGGGGGGGCGGAGAATCTCAAGCAGACTCCCTACTGAGTGGGGAGCCAGATACAGGGAGAATGCAGGGATGTGGGGCTCGATCTCACAACCCTGAGATCATGACCTGACCCGAAACCAAGAGTTGGACACTCAACCAACTGAGCCACCCAGGCGCCCCTCTTCCAGCTGTATTTTTAATAAATCGGAACTAAAAAATTCCCAAAGAGCAGAAACATTTCTAATTATTTTCATTGCCTTTAGCTAAATGGCACACAAACAACAGAAACTCATTTATTTTGAGCTGTGTATATCAAAACAAAGGCAATCCAAATGCACAGTCAGACGTCATATTTACATATTTCAAAGGGAACAAATCTCTATTATTATTCTATAAATTTGATATATAGATGAGTTGTCATTACCAAGTTTTACTTTTTAGAATAAAAAAATACCTAAAATATATTGCCTTGATGTTCCAGAATAATTGTAAAGGGATTTTCCCTTTAGCCAAATAGAAATCTATAAAAGTATTATAATTATGGATTATATATATAGAGAGAGAGAGAGTTTTTCTATAATCTGAATTTTAAAAGCAGATGTCAATTTAAAATGAACTGCTAAAGCTGCTGCAACTAAAAAGGGAGGAAACGGGAGATATGGTAAGAAACATTAAAGATGGCCCACTAAATTAAGAAGTGTGAGAGGCAAAAAATGATTAACATTTTCTAAGATAAAGATCACCTGAACTATAAAATTCAAAACTAGTTCTAGAAGTAAAAACGTCAAGATTTATGTTACAGTGCTTATCTATATGAATAAATGCTTCATCTAATGATATAAACATCACATATATTAGAACTGTAAACATTTTTTTTAAAGGAGATTGAAGAAAAACAAGACTTCTTCCAGTGATTATGGAAAATGAAGCTTCTGTACTTTTCTAAATTTCTCATAGTCTCTGAACTGGTATTTTATAATGGAATGGGATGGCAAGAAATCAAGGGGGAGGAAAATACACAAATAGGGGCTTGGCGGGGAAGGAGGGTAGAATAAGTAGGTTATCTTTTTTTTTTTTTTTTTTAATCTTTGTCTTCTTCCTACCTTCCACTTACTTGGTCTGTGAGCTATTTTCCTAAATGTTAAA